TGCAGTAACATCCCAGTTTAATCCAGGGACAGGTTTTATTAACACCCTAACAGATGTTTGAGAGATATCTTTATCATTCTATGTATAAATGCGCCCCTAAATCTTTGCTAATCATTTACATAGTTTAGTTATTTTACTAATGTCTAAATAAAGAGAATTATAGTAAATTAAGTCATTAATGCATTTTTTACAGTACAAATAATTATTAATCCATACATGCTTTATTTTGATGAGCTCAACTCCTGGTCCTCCACAGCATTTACTTAAGCATAACTGGCATCTAGAAAGAAAAAAGAGAACAAACTCTTATCTCATATTAATTTGTTTCTCCTCACATTGTCCCACAGATGCTCCAAAGCTTCCCCACACACAGTTCAGTGACTCTTTAGCAATACTAACAAAGCAGCTAATTATACCAGGTACAAGGAGAATGAAGACTTCAGCAGAAGCATCATGAGGAAACTTCACTGACTTCACACTTGACATAGTGGGAGTTATTATTGCAAAGCCCACAACATAAGAGGACATCTGACTGCTATGGCTAGTTAGTTTGACACTTTCTATCTAAACTGAAACTTTCACAATGTAAGAACAGGGATTTCTACCTGGCAACTAATCAATCAATCAATCAAAGCTTTATTCGCCACATGCAGGTTGCCCTGCAGTGAAATGGGACCCCCCCCCCCCCCCCCCCCCCACACACACACACACACACACACACCTTACGCACACAACACAGACATCACATGGGGATACAGGTCGGAGATCGGTAGCGTTACAGAAAAACACTGAAATGTACACAACAATGGGAAAGTACAAGAGGAAAAAAAGAGACCTCTTCTCATGCTGTGCTTCCATGGTAGGACAGCATGAGAACAGGAAACAAAAAAACTCCTCTGCACAAAAAGCACATAAATGTCCACAGCACAACTTTGTGAAAGACATGACAAGCCACAGGATTGGGTGGGGGGTGAGGAGTAATCTGAAGCGAGCAGAGCAGCCGCCCTGCACAGCGCTACCATTCCAGCACGGCACACAGACCCGCCGTGTTCCCCCGCAGGAAACAAGCATCGAAGGCATTTGGAAAGGGAGGGGGATGAGTGTGTGCTTATCAGTGTAAGTGTATGTGTGTGCGTGTCCATAGTTCAGCTGAGACAGTGTCCTTCGCCCTGCCAGGCTAAGTAAACAGTCTTCCAGCCAACCCAGGTGGCCTAGCATGGAATGGGAAGGAACAGACTAAACACAGTCGTTATCAGGGTGTTGTTTTTCGGCTCCAGCCTCGAGACCGCCACTGGCACCAAAGGGGTATCCGCATGAAGTGATGGTGCTTTTTACTTTAGTGCGAACAATTCAATTCAATTTTATTTATATAGCGCCAAATCACAACATAAGTCGCCTCAAGGCGCTTCATAGATACAGAGAAAAACCCAACAATCATATGACCCCCTATGAGCAGCACTTTGGCAACAGTGGGAAGGAAAAACTCCCTTTAAACAGGAAGAAACCTCCGGCAGAACCAGGCTCAGGGAGGGGCGGGCCCATCTGCTGCGACCGGTTGGGGTGAGAGAAGGAGACAGGACAAAGACATGCTGTGGAAGAGAGACAGAGGTTAATAACAGATATGATTCAATGCAGAGAGGTCTGTTAATACATAGTGAGTGAGAAAGGTGACTGGAAAGGAAAAACTCAATGCATCATGGGAATCCCCCGGCAGCCTACACCTATTGCAGCATAACTAAGGGAGGATTCAGGGTCACCTGGTCCAGCCCTAACTATATGCTTTAGCAAAAAGGAAAGTTTGAAGCCTAATCTTAAAAGTAGAGATAGTGTCTGTCTCCTGAATCCAAACTGGAAGCTGGTTCCACAGAAGAGGGGCCTGAAAACTGAAGGCTCTGCCTCCCATTCTACTTTTAAATACTCTAGGAACAACAAGTAGGCCTGCAGAGCGAGAGCGAAGTGCTCTAATAGGGTGATATGGTACTACAAGGTCATTAAGATAAGATGGGGCCTGATTATTTAAGACCTTGTATGTGAGGAGCAGGATTTTGAATTCAATTCTGGATTTAACAGGAAGCCAAAACAGGAGAAATCTGCTCTCTCTTTCTAGTCCCTGTCAGGACTCTTGCTGCAGCATTTTGGATTAGCTGAAGGCTTTTCAGTGAGTTTTTTGTACTTCCTGATAATAATGAATTACAGCCGTCCAGCCTGGAAGTAATAAATGCATGAACTAGTTTTTCAGCGTCACTCTGAGACAGGATATTTCTAACTTTAGAGATGTTGCACAAATGGAAGAAAGCAGTCTTACATATTTGTTTAATATGTGCGTTGAAGGACATGTCCTGGTCAAAAATGACTCCAAGGTTCCTCACAGCGTTACTGGAGGCCAAGGTAATGCCATCCAGAGTAAGAATCTGGTTAGATACCATATTTCTAAGATTTTCAGGGCCGAGTACAATAACCTCAGTTTGATCTGAATTAAGAAGCAGAAAGTTAGCGGCCATCCAGGTCTTTATGTCTTTAAGACATTCCTGCAGTTTAACTAATTGGTGTGTGCTATCTGGCTTCATGGACAGATGGAGCTGGGTGTCATCTGCATGTGTAAATGTATGCTATGTCTTCTAATGATGCTGCCTAAGGGAAGCATGTATGATGTAAACAGAATTGGTCCTAGCACTGAACCCTGTGGAACTCCATAATTAACCTCAGTGTGTGAAGAGGACTCTCCATTTACATGAACAAATTGGAGTCTATTAGATAGATATGATACAAACCACTGCAGCGCAGTACCTGTAATACCTACAGCATGTTCTAATCGCTCTAATAGGATATTATGGTCGACAGTATCGAATGCTGCACTAAGGTCTAGCAGGACAAGCACAGAGATGAGTCCACTGTCAGAGGCCATAAGAAGATCATTTGTAACCTTCACTAAAGCTGTTTCTGTGCTGTGATGAGCTCTGAAACCTGACTGAAACTCTTCAAATAAGCCATTCCTCTGCAGATGATCTGTTAGCTGTTTGACAACTACTCTTTCAAGGATGTTTGATATGAAAGGAAGGTTGGAGATTGGCCTATAATTAGCTAAGACTGCTGGGTCTAGAGATGGCTTTTTGAGAACAGCTCATATGAATTTCAAAGCAGTTCTACAGTCCAACACTGGTCTGTCAATCTCCCGTTGGAGAGCCGCGAGCTTCTCCATACTTGCGTTCTGTGATGTTGTCATTTCTTGTGCTCAAGGAACAGATTTCTGAGAAATCACGGCAGTGTGCCTCCCCGAGATGTCATCCAATTTGCGCCCAGAGATCTTATTCCGAGCGAGCCCCTCCGAGATGTCATCCAGTCTGCAGTCAGAGATCTTATTCTGAGTATTCACAGCAGCCGTAGCCTCTCCAAGATCTTATCCGTGCTGACTCAATGAGCCCATTTTGAGAAACTCACGCCTCTTCCCAATGTTCCAATCCCAGCGGGCAGCCTTGTGGGGGTTTGAACAGCCGGTTCTGCTTTCTTAATTCTTCGATAAGTCAGGGCCAAGCCAGCTCCAATCAGAACCCTGTTACCATGGTTCCGAATAGGTAGATATCTTCAGCACTCAGGCTCACCCGAGCCCAAACTTCTCGTTGAGAAAGGGGTGTCAATTGCATTTAGGGACCAGTTGATCCAATCCATAATTCCTCTTTTAGGTTTTAGAGAACAGACTGTGAGAGAGTGTGCCAGGGAAAAGTAACAACAAAAGGATAACAAAAAAGGATGTTGCTCATTTTAAGTCAATGAAAATAAATTATACAGTCATGTGAACTAACATACAAAGTCTGTGCCACCACAGCACCGCAAATAAAACTAATGTGTTGACCAAATTGTACATTACACAGATCTGCTGTGTGTGGTCTTATTTTTACTGAGTTCAGTCATAATGAAGATCATCAGGTTGACTCTGCTGGTCCTGATGCCGACAGTATAGTGATGTGTCGGTCACGAACGAAACGGCTCTTAGAGCCGGTCTTTGACGTGAACGACGCGAGCTGGCTCCTTATTGCAAGCCGTGGGGTTTTTTTCCTTCTCTCACCCTCTCTCTCTTTCTCTCTCTCGCACTTTTTTTCTGCTTCACTCAGCACGCGAGCCTTGTGCCTTGCGCTGTGCAGAGGGGGGCGGTAGTTACACTCGCAGTAGCACAGGAACAGAGGGATGATCTGATATCGTGGTGTTCAACAGTTACAGTAACTTTGATTATTTTTACTGTATATATTCTTATACTCTGCTTTAATCAGTGTGTGCCTTACTTGGATAAAACAAAATTCTCCATGAGCCTGTGCATATTTTCATTGCTGCTTTACTTCTGAACTCTGTTTACATAATGCATAGTGTTATTTAAAACAAATTCTACTATAATTTGATTCATTTTCCTATTCAAGAATTAGAACAGACAGAGTCGGCCCTCCCTGAGTCTCTTCATAGGCTTTTCTGTATGTCAGTGTCTCTTTATCTATTTGTATGTGCTCTGTCTGGTGTGAGTGTTTAAAAGGGAGCACTAAAACCTTTGCATATCTAGAATATTCTCGTTCAGAAAGGCTAAACTTTTCATAGCCAAAGTTTTGCATTTGTGTTATGAATAACTTTCAGAAAATAATAATCATTCTTGTAGTTTATTTCTGTACATCTTGTGCATACACCGAGTGCCTCTCAACTTTTATTCACTCTCATTTTCATTCATGTTCATTCATTAAAAAATAAAATATCAAGACAAGTGGAAAAATTAAATACATGTTCAGTTATTGTGTTTATGGCATAGGTGTCAAACTCTGGCCCGCAGCCTAATCACATTTGGCCCGCGAAGCCATACCAAATGACTATCAGAGCTGGCCTACTGGTATTATACAGCTAATATATATATTGTTTAGTATTAAGCTTTGCTTGTTCCATATTCAGTTTTCCAGCAAAACTTATTTGAGTCCATAAGAAAAGATTCATTCTTATATCTGGAGGAAGATTTTTTTTTCAATAAATATTGACTTTGTTCCAGTTTTGAATTTTGGCCCACTGTGTATTTGAGTTTGACACCCCTGGTTTATGGTGTTGATTCTTATGTCATGTAGAAACACTTTCAGCTCAGAAATGGTGGCTGCTGGTCATAGACTCAGACGACGGACTTGAAGGTCTGGAATCTGATGTGTCCCCTTTCCCTGGAACCTGTCAGGATAAACACATCAATCAATAAACTCATGTGAGCTTTTCTGTAACACAAATCACCGATCAGCAGCAGCTGAAGCAAACTGTGGTTTTTGGATTACATTTGGGTAAAATGTACCTGTTCAGAGGTGTGTGAAGGTTTTCGAGAACTATTTCTGAAATATAACAGGAAGTCAACATTTAAAAAATGCTTGACATACACAACTGTGATATAAAATTAATTTCTTAGACATCTTACATGGAACTCTCAGACTGTTTGTTCTTGGTAAGATGTTCTTTGTCTGAACTCTTCTGATGTTTCCCCTTCCTATGGAACCTGTCAGGATAAACACATAAATCAATCCCACTGTGAAGTTGCAGTAGAGGGCTTAATACATTCCAGTGATCCCAGAAGCTATGCTTTTGGGTGCAATTTCCCCCTGGGTAGGGGGGATCTTCAATATGATCTTTAAGGTGACGCAATATAGACTCAAAATTATTTGTACTATTTGCAGTTTGAACAGCTGTCGCAAAACAGTTATCAAACTCTACAAAGTACTGAAATAGTTCAGCTGATGCCAGGCAGAGAATTAAAAAAACCTCAACATAAGGTTAATTTATTCTATATATTCATACTTTTTTTTTTTAAATCACTGTGTGTCTTTTCTCCACTCCAAACCAGCTGAGGTCTGGCCTGGTATTGCTTGCATGTTAAAAGGGCGTTTTTCTTTCGCACTGTTGACAAGTGCTTGCTCATAGGAGGTCGTGTGAATGTTGGGGTTTCTTTCTAACGTTGTAGGGTTATTACCTTACAATATAAAGCACATTAGGGCGATTGTTGTTGTGACTTGGCAATATATGAATAAAACTGATTTGAATTGAATGATATACAAATTGTTTTGGTAAACTTTACCATTTTTAAAAACAACAGTATAGAAATAATGAGTTAAATTACAAATTTGAAGCGGCAGTATTTTCTTTTTTGTCCACTTGGACAATTATTGTCTGCTTTTGAGCCGAGAAAACAATTTAACCAATTTGAAGAAAATGTGTAGCAACAGTTGAAACACTGCAATCTCACCTGATGAGAAACGCAACAGCAAGAATCAATCCCAGGGTGCTCAGCCCAAACAGGACGCCCAGAGCAATGACCAGCGCCTGATTGGAGGTGGACCCTTGAGGGTCCACCATCTCAACATCAAAATGAAGCTCCTCCCCAAACAACTGAGACAGCTCTGCATTCACAGCATTTGATTGGCTCTGCAGTTTCCTGGTGGATCAGACAGCAAGAGGTCAAAAGAAATCTGTCACATGACCTTTTTACACAGTTCACCAAGGTGATCTTTCCCTGATTATATCTAAATATAGAAGTTAATTTTTATGAGACCAGGTTTAGATTTCAAACTGGTCAAAATGGTAGGTGCCTGTGGAAAATTACTCAAAATCAACATTACTCAGACTAATGAATTTCAGGCAAGTTTGCTAAAAACCAAAGCAAAACAATACTGAGTGTCTAACAGATGGGCCTGATGTAGAACACATTAGAAGTCAGTCTCTTACTTTATGACTGCTTCAGAGGAAACAACCTCCCCTCCATCTACAGCAAAGAAACGGACCAAAGTCCTCACAGAAACTCTCAGGTTTCGGGTGCCAGTGGATCCATCGTTAGCGCTGAACACCTGAACGATGTTCACAGTCCAGCCCAGAACTTTGCCCAAAGACCTGGGAGACACAAAAATCTATTAGAAGTAACAGAAGTGGATTATAGAAAGCAATCTTTAACACCAGCTAAACCTGTCTTACGTCGATAAATCTTCAACTTTCTTCTCCACAATGTTAGCAGGCTGATTAAGTGAGATGGTCACAACGTTGGAGCTGCTTGCACTTGCCTGAACCATCACCTGGGGGCAGAAGAGAGATTAATTTAACTTGGAATTTAACTTCTTATTAACCTGTTTTATTGAACAAAATAAACAAGAAGATGAATTAAAAGGAAATACTTTGTATTTATGCATATGAAAATCAGCTATCAGTTCTTTTTTGTGTAATTATTATTAATAAAGACTTTTGCCTTTATTTGTTGGAGCAGAGTGGACAGGAAAGCGGGGGGGTCTTAAACACTCACCTCCACTACAGCGGTAGCATGAAGATCGTGGGGATCAGTGGCCTTCACCTCCATTTTAGCTGTCTGTCCAGCCAGTTCTGTTGCTGAGATCACATAGACCAGACCTGAGGATGGGTTAATGTCAAAATAAGGACTTTCTGCTGTCAAACTGTAGACCAGCTGCCCCACATCTCCAACATCAGGATCTGAAGCCTGGAGGTAGAGAGCAAAAAAAGCACTTAAAACCTTTATGAACTAATGTAGTCGATTGTAGTTGATACTAATTTGTGAGCTACTGGATTAAACCAAAAGTCTAAAACTAAGTTATCCAAACTAGCTGCACATCAGTGAGTGACAGCAGTATAATGCTGCTTAATCATTTATGCTTCAGTTTTAACAATGTAATTTATTTAAATTTGTAATAATTGTCATTCTTTTGCAAATTGTTCTTTTTATATTCTAAGCACAGTTAGCCAATAATATTGCTGTATTTTCATTTAATACACAATAAAAGCTTAATACTCGTTCCACTTAGGAGAAACAGCTTTTAGTTTTATCTTTTTAACTTCACTAGATGTTTCTTGTCGCTGTGTTTACTGGCAGTGCACACGTCACACTGACTGATTTAGTGTTTTCATTGGTGATTACTCAGCCAGGACACTTGACATACTGGAAGATGTAGGAAGTGTTTCTGTGAATGCTTTTCTCTGATTCCTGGTGATGTGGTGTGTTTCATTGCTACTCACAGACACATTAACCATGAACAGATTACTGAGTGGATTTCAGTTCAAAGTACATTGCATGATAGCAGATGCCTTTTATGTAAACATAAAATCAAAGGAGGCAAACATTCGCAGAACCATTATATTATTTCCAGACAGATGGAAACTGAAAAAGTTGGGTGTGTTTACCTTCACTTGGATGACGGGAGTTTTATAGGGGGCGATGCTGAATACAGAGGCACTATAAACCTCTGGGGGAAACTGTGGTGACTCGTTCACATCCTTCACCTGAACTCTAACCTGAGACAGAAAGAAACATTGAAGAGAATTTCTGTGCAATGCTTAAAGCATTTCAATGTCACATTCCTCTAGTTTGTAAAATGATTAGACGGCAATGAGAGTCTTTGGCTATCTTAATGCTTAGGTAACCTTGCCTAGAGCTTAAAAACAAGGCGATAAGTAAAGCATGATTTGAATGACTGTAGGTATTTGACCTTACAATTGCATTATGGACTACTTTAATATCTGTGTACATAATGCCATACCCACCGGGACTGTACTTTGTTTCTCTAACAATAAACTGTGGATCACTCATAATATCAAGGCTGCCCTTAAGCAGAAAAGGAGAATCAAGTCCACGCTCAAGTGAGGAATCAAGGAAGAAATGAAGGTTGTAAAGAGATCGCTGAGGAGAGGGGGAGGGGAAAACACCTTCAATCTCGGGCTTTAAGAAACAGAATTTTCTGTTGCTTGTTTGGATTACGGTGAGTAAACTCAGATAAGGCAGATTCATCATCTGCCGGGTCTGCTCCCAGTGCAGCAACTACTGCCACAACCATCATCATCTTGGCATTCTAGTGACTGCCCATCCCACCTTAACTCCTTTCACACTTATCCACTACATTGCCTGTGTGCTGCCCCTGACCTCCAGTACATAGCTGAGTATATCAGCATAACTGAGTATATCTTTTCCTATTGCTTTGAACACTATCATACCCACAATCATGGCAGGAGTACAAAGATGTGGACCATCACCTCACCACATGAATTCTGGACTACCTTACCAACAGGCCTCAGTACATATAGATCGAGAATTGTGTTGGTGATGGGCTCCCCGGCAGTATAGATGACCAACAAGCAGAAGTCCTGGATCCGTTTCTTTTCACTATATGCACCGGATACTTCTACAACTCGGCTAACTGCTTTTGAGTCTCTGATGACTCATTTGTTGGCCATGTCCCCCATGGGTATAACAAGGACTTTTGCAGGCGCCAAACATCCTCCACTTTCAGAAGAAACCATCCATGGAACGGATATTGAGATCATGGACTCATAAGTACATGGTTATTAACGACTAACACAAATGCCATCTACAGAAACAGCTGGTATCTCCTACTGAGACTTGGGTGTTTTGGAGTGCAGGTATAGCTCCTATGACTCTGTGGTGGCATCAGCCATCTCTTATGGTGTAGTCTGCTGGGGCAGCAGTAGCTCTGCTGGGGACAGAAAGAAACTAAACAGTTTGATCAAGAAGGCCAGCTCTATGCTGGGATAACCTCTTGATTCAATGGAAACAGTGAGCAACAGGAGAACAGTAGCTAAGCTACCATCCTTGTTAGAGAACACCTCCCACCTCATGCAGCACTAAGAAGCTCCTTCAGTGACAGGTTGCCGTACCCAGGAGAGATTTTGGATGCCTTTTTTTTCCAGAGTCTACTATGTCTAACAGAAATGAACATGAGGATACACACATGGTCTGTACATATCTCAATGTGCAACACTGTCCACTGCACTATGAAGCATTTAGTTTTTGCTAGACTTCTCTCTCTCTCTCCCATCAACTGTATTTTGTATCATATCTGTGTATATACATATGCACAGATATACAGAACCAAACAAAAAACAAAACTCTGCAATACAGTACTACAGTATTGTTTTGGTATAGTATTATTGTAGTTAGGTTATGCTGTATGTATTTATCCCTGCTGTGTTCACTCTGCTACTGTAATAATAAATTTCCTGACTTTGAGACTAATCTCATGTTAATAACACTACAAGTAAACTCAAAGGATTACTTTACAATTAATTAATTAAAATTTAAAATACAAGGACACGTATTTGGTCATGCTTGGATTGCCAAGGAGCTCTAGTAACACTTCATGAAAACTTTATGCTAGTCTGTTGTAGACACACCAGATCACATTTGCTGTGCCATCTTGACATACCTTCTATCTAATTCTGTTCCCTTCCTCTGTTCCTCTGCAATCAGTGAATTTTATGAAGCGCCTTGAGGCGACTTATGTTGTGATTTGGCGCTATATAAATAAAATTGAATTGAATTGAAATAGCTCATTTTTGTTAAAGTCAATACCGTCGTCATTGCTGATGTAGGTGGATTCCGTGTGTCCACAACCTCCACTTCCAAGAAGTACCATTCCTGCTGTTCTTTGTCGAGCTGTGCTTTGGTGAAGATAGCTCCACTGAGGTTTATGGAGAACAGGTCTTTGTGTGTATTCAGCGAATACGTGACATTGTAAAGGTTGCTTCCTGAGGAGGCAGTGACCTTGCCTACCAAAACCCCTGCTTCCTGGTTCTCAGGCAGGCTGAAGTTATAGGAGGAGCTCAGGAAGGCCACAGTCTCAGTCAGACTGGAAATGTGTAGATTCACCACAACACGAGCTGCAGGGAAATTATAGCACAGAATGCTCATGGGTTAAACTCCCACACAGGTGAAGCTAATTTTTTAAATGCATCGAACAGGATCTTCACATGAACAATTAATTTGTTAATTTTTAGAAACTTAACGGTCCATACAAAATTTAGGATTTCTTAGTACATACTGAAATTTCTGTCGATTTTTTTGTGTAATTCGTAGCTGAGTCGAATAATTTTCCATGCTATAGAAATAAAACTGAACTGAACTGAATTGGTTAACATTGTGAAAAGATGCTTTTAAAGTCAAATCATGTTAACTTCCAATAAATCATTATTTATTAATTTATTCCTAATCCTGATCAAGCAGTGACTGGAACTGAAGACTAATAAAATATAGCATTATGTCTAAACATACGTTTTTCAAATGTGTCCAGTGTTTGAGTTATTCATAAACATTTTTACACATTTCTACATACTGCAGATGACACCTATGAGAAGATATTAACCAAGGAACCAGTTTACCCTGCCAGGGATAAGCTTATTGTGTCCCCACCCCCAGAGTGGAGGCACAATTAGCTGAGAAGGGAGCTCAAGGAAGAGCGTCTGTTTGCCCCCTTTGCTCATGGAGCCTGGCTGGGTGCAGCCTTAGAGGAGTCATGGGCCTGCCCTTCTGTAATTCCACCAATAGCACGAGGCACCATAGGGGTCAGGTGCTATGTGTGTTAGGCAGCAGTCAAGGGTGGTCCAATCCACCCTTGACAGACTACTGGGTCACCTACTTAATGGTTTTAATGGAATCTCCTACCATTACTATGCAGATAACACAGAGTTACACTTTTCTGTCAAGCCCAACAACCTCAACAGCCTTTGATACCACTGCCTTTGTAAATACAGATGTTGCTCTATAGACAATCCTACACTCAGGAATCCTGCTCATGTTGGTCACTTTATTTCACTCATACTGTAAACTTTAAAGCTGCTACATTGGTCACTTTAAACCACTTCAAGGTCACTTTAAATGTCAATTGTAAATTGTAACGTTAGACTGTTATCTCTTCATGTCAACTTCCTTTTTTTCACAGTCTGTTTTTGAAGATGAATTTTCCGCAAAAACACAACTCTAGATTGTTTATGCCTCACATTTTCCCCATGCAGGGCTGTAACATTTCAGTTTTACTTCTTTCCTTTCCTATCAATCTGTTCCCAATACAAAGCAGGAATGCATTTATTTCTAAACTTGGGAAGGTTAAAATGCATGCATACTATGATGTTATGGTTTACAGTTAAATCAAAAAATAAAGCTCAAATAACCAAATGATGCCAAGAGCCGTTAGACTGACCCGTGGTGCTCAAAGGGGGCTGGCCGTGGTCTGTGGCCACAGCTGTCAGCACCAGTGCGGTATCTTCTGTTAAATCAGCAAATTTAGAGGTCAAAGTCACATTCCCAGTCTGGGTGTTTAGGTCCAAGTATGGAGAACCTTCTCCAGAGAAACTAAAACAGCAAAAATGAAAAAAATACATTTAAGGAACCTTAATAAATACTCCTGCTACAACAACATACAACAACACTAAACTATCTTGGAATATGTTTAATCCATGCATTTTAATAGATAAAAAAATTAAATACAAACAAACAAACAAAAAAATATTCACGTACACAATGACTCTTCCGCCTATACAATACTATAGAAAAAAAATACATGCTTCCCTCAGCTGAAAACAAGAACATGCTGGATCTACTTAATTCAACTGTGGACTTTGGTTGCACACATATGTTTTGCTGTGGCTATGGATGCTGTGCCCTGCCCACCGGGAGCAGCATGACAGTTAGGGCAGGAGTGCTGGACGTGTGGGTGGCCAGGAAACATTTGCCAAGAATGTCCACTCGTGGAAGCTGCGCAGATGATGTGCACCACCAGCCTTCTGACACCCTCACCCAGCCCAGGAGAAACATACAGAAGTATGTATGCCTGTGCTGTGCTCAGTTGTTACCTCGAAGTCATCAGACACCAACTCTGGGGAAGAAGAAATGGTGGGGCCTTCACGTGAGAGCCCACTGGCTCCGGTGATTTGCTCCACAAAAGATTTCCCACAAGAGCAGTGATGACAGTCTGAGCTCAGCCTTTCAGCAAGTGATCAAAGTTGATGTAACACTGAAATTTCTGTATTTTGTAATGAGTGACAGTTTATATTGAGTGAGTCATGAGTAGGGATGGGTATCGTTTAGGTTTTATCCGATACCGGTGCCAAATCGGTACTTTTGAAACGGTGCCGGTGCTCAAACGGTGCTCGAACCGGTGCTTAAAGAATGGAGAACACAAAATTGGTCCAAAAACCTCTCATATTCAGCTGGTTTTATGTAAAAAGATAACAATGTTAGCCTTTTCTGCAGCTATGGGGCATATATGGTATCACTCTTGGCTGGAAGCAGTGCTTAAACAATGGAAAAAATACAAACTTTGTCCTAAAACCTCTCATGTTTAGCTGTTTCCCTCTTTTTCTTTGGTCATTTTAGCCTTTTTGGCCAGGGTGAAGGGAGTATCTGCCATCAAACAAGAAGACAGCCGCATGTAACTACAACGCTGTTTGCTAGTTCACCTTACATGCATTAATGTAATAACGTGGTTAGCCTACTCAGCGTAAATTACACGCGAACAACAGAGAAGAACGGCTGCTGCTGCCATCAAATACGGTGCATTTCTCGGCTTTTAAAAAAAACGCTATGCGTCGCCAGGTGTTTCATCGGATTTGAGGTGTTACCTCCTTTGACAGTATCAGCTTAAAGCACTTGTTGCTGCTGAGTTTGCATATTTTGCTGTGAAGTACAGCCAGACTTTTGACCGCTTCGCCTTGGACATTTTTAATCTGTAGCTCTGCTCTAACAGAACGTACGTACCTGGCCCCGCCTACTATCCTCGGAAACGTAAAATGATTGGCTAGAAGTGTATCACAGCTCAGGAAAAAAAAAGCACCAAAATAAAGCACCGAAATGTGCGCTGCTTTTCGGTCTGGTTACTACCGTTTATGTCAGAACCGGTGCCATCATGGCACCGGACACCGGTACCCATCCCTAGTCATGAGACTCATACACAGGAAGAGCACGCCTAGTTGTTGGTGCCTAAAAGCAGGCGGGAATTTATTTTCCAGGCTATTTTCCATTTACTCCAGAGTTATGATAAAAATCTGGAGTAAATCATTGCCCAATTTTAGTAGCTGGACATCTGAGGGGATGTGCGCCAGTGTTGCGCAGGTTGTCACGGGAGAATTTGTTCCAGGCCCAGGAATGTCAGCAGTGACTTTACAACATTTACAACTCAGACAGTTTTCACTGGGAGATAAATTGCTCTTAGCCCTGCGTCAGATTTGTGACCAAATCAAGCAAGCCACACAAATCATATCACCTGAGCCTCCTGAAAGCATAAAGACAGGCTGAATCCATCTCTGGCGAACCGATTTAAGGAAAGAAAGAAGTTGGGGCCAGAAGTGCCAAGTTTAGCTTCCATCCTCACTCCATTGTGACAACCATCTCACACAGGCTCAGAGAGCAGATGTTGCTGCATTGCAACAACGTTTTGGAGATGTGTTTCTCACCTGCCCGGTCTTTCCACTCACATAGAGCACCATTTTGAAACATGCCCTGGCGTGACGATGCAGTGACTGCATTGCAGTGACTGCAATGTGAATGTTGGAAAGCAGAAACTGCGAGAAATTGCGTCAAAACCCTGTTCAATAAAACGCAACAGCATTCACTTTGGTGGTACCAGGTCTTTACTACACAGACAATTAAACCTATACTTAGAGCTGGATCAGGTAACCCTGAACTCTGCCATTGCAGAGTTGCTAGAATGTTGGGAGACTTTTCTATGATGCACTGAGCATTCCTCCTCTCCTCTTTTCACTCACGATGCATTTACATGCTTCTACCTCATGTCATTAACTTTTAACTCCTCTCTCCCATAGTATGATTTTTTGTCCTTGTCTTCCTATGTAGCAGATGGTTGCACCTCCTTGAATGTGTTCTTTACACCATAACCAGGTGCTTGCTTATCAGGGATTGCCTGATTGTTTGAGTGTTTTTTCTCTAATATTGTAGAGTCGTTTTTGTTGAGAAGTAGAATGATATAAGGAAACCAGAATCAAACAGAAAAGTCAGAATCATAAAGATAGGAGTTCGTTTAAAAACAGCCCAAAAAAGAATAACACTCGTAGTATTTATAGTTTGTAATGTATTATCGTGTTACAAAAAAACATAATTGCAGAGTCCCTGAAATTTCCCAAAGCCTTCCAACTTTCAATTTGTTACATAAAGAAGGTGAAATGACTTTGCAGTCACATTCCAAAAGCGTCCTGTCCATCTGAACTGACCTGTAGGTGACGAGAGAATTGTTCCCGGTGTCTCTGTCAGTAGCAGACAGCGTGAGCAAAAGCTTTCCTTCCTCTGCGTCTTTCAGCAGGATGGTGCTGACGTAGTCGCTGGAACTGAAAACGGGGTTGTTGTCGTTCAGGTCAGCTAGGCTCACTCTGATCGAGGTGAAGTTCTGGTGTTCAAAGTCCAAAGTTCAATTACAATAGTAATTGTCAAGTACAACTTAAGAGTGCCTTTCTGATGTGAAAATACTCAACTGGACCAAAAGTAGACCTAATTTTGTAAAATACAAGAACTTTTTTGGAATGTTGGCTGTTTCAGGGTCTGTAAGCATTTTCTGTAGTTACCTCTCTTGGAGGGTTGCCTTTGTCTAAAGCCGTCACAGTCAGGTCATATGTTTCCCTGCTCTCCCGATCCAAAGGACCAATAGCCAGCAATGTCCCATCCTGTAACACAACACATGAAACTGCAACACACATCCAACATATTTATACTATACCTACAACATAACTACAACCAGCCCAAGAGCACTCACATAATAGTGAAACAATCATTTTGCGCCTCTTTAGGACAGATTTTTCCATCCAATCCTAAAATATGCAGCACTGCGAACAATGTCTATACTGTAACTTTTGTTGCTGCTTCCCAATACAGTGCATTGTAGAGCCCACAACTACTGTAATTGATTAATTAATTAAGGCCCTATTATACATTTCTATTGTGAGTATGACTTTCCTTATTTTCTGTCATATACACTAAAATAAAACCAAATAAAAATAAAATAAAGGAAAACTTTTTCAATCAGAGTAGGATATTGATCTGGTCAGTTAAGTAGCAAAGGGGATTGTTAATCATTTTCAGCTGCTTTGGTGTTAACAGAATTATCATCAGGTGCTTTAGAGGAGCAACAAGGAGAGAAGCCCCCAAAACATGAATGAATGGTTTTACAGGTGGGGGACACTGACCTTTTGTCCCTCAACATATTTTCTGACTGTTTTTTCACTGGGTTTACATTCAGCTTGTATCAGTAGCATGGCAGTGTGAGGTGATTCTTGGACTCTACGGAGGTTGCACAGGTATTACCACTCCTCCAGGATGGCACATCAACATGTGTCATTGACAGAAGGTTTGCTGTGTCTCATAAAGTCTCAGTAATATGGTGGAGATTCCAGGTCACAGGCAGTTACTCTACATAAGTGGAAAGGGCCATAGAAGGTCTTAATCCATCAGCTGGACTAGTATCTGCTCCTTTGTGCAAAGAGGAACAGGATGAGCACTGTCAGTCCTACAAAATTACCTCCTTCAGGCCAGTGCTATGAATGTCTCTGAGCAAACAATCAGAAACAGACTTCATTAGGGTGGACTGAGGGCCCAACATTATCTAATGGGCCCTGTACTCACTGTCTGGCACTGTCTGTGGAGCCTGATCAGAATTTGCCATAGAATTGGCAGGTCCACCACTTGTACCCTGCTGAAAGCAAATTCACCCTGAGCCTAACAAGAAAGGGTATGGAGAAGCATGGATAACGCCATGCTAGCCAACGGCATACCTGTCTGTGGAGGTGTATCCATGGATATGTGATGTGTTTTAAGCGTTCCTTTATTTGTTTTTCTTTCTTTTTTTAGAAGTTTATGTCCTCTTATACTGCATACTAAATAAGGCTCATTTTGTGCCAAAGGTTCAGACTTCAGATTGCGCTAATACAAATGAACAGAATTAATATGTGTGTGGCAATATATAACATCATGTCAGGTAAAGCAGTCGCTATAATAGACAAAAAGCGGAATTCTGGCATGTTGGAAAATGTTCCCAGCTGTTTTTTCCCTTTTGCCTCACCTCTCTGAATCTAAAGACTGGGTGGGGGGAGATAAGGGAGAGGGTGACCTCTCCATTTAGCCCAAGGTCTGCGTCTGTGGGTGTGATGGTAAAAATTTCTCCTGGGCTTTCCACTGAGTAATCGCCTTCAATGATCATCAGTGGGTCAGGAATGCTTGGGAATTGTGGAGAATTGTCATTGTAATCAAGGATTGTGATATTCAGCTGAGCCGTGGAACTCAGACCATCAGTCACCTGATCCACTGCGACAACCTGAATAGAGACACAGAAAACACAGAAAGTTACTGAAACCTCCCCCACAGGATTCTACTAACTTTAGCTCTTAGACACCAAGTTACTTTTTTTAACCAAAAAACATAAAATTTAGCCTGGGCACATAGTATTTGTTCCCTTTAACTTATTATTATTGTTATTTTTGCTTTTTAACATTGCACAAATTAACTACAGTAAAGTTATATTTTTACACATAAAAAGAAAATGGAAAGAGGACTGAATAATGAAAAAATGAGAAAACTATTGCTGAACTGATTCTGTGCCTCTCGTTCTTCTATTCCCAATGTAATAATTTCAAAAATGGTTCAGTGGCTCACCATTGGGTTATAAGTATTTAAGTTTTAAAAACAGAAAATATTTGATGTGTGTATACGTTAATACATGGCAATCTAAGAATGCCATGTATTAATTACGTTTTAAACAATAGTGCAAGACAATATAATATCACAATTTTCAGTATCCATACATATGTTGTATATTTACCTGTAACAAATAGCTGTCTTTTGTCTCTCTGTCCAAGGCTACATCTCTTCTCAGTGAGACGACTCCCTGCTTATTGATCTCAAAAGTGTCATTGTTGTAAAGGAAGTAGCCATTGGAGAAGCCACCCTAAAAAGGAAGGTAGTTATGTTAAATAAGACGTCTTCATAACCAAAGGTAATTATTAAGAACAAATCAGGTGCATATACTGATATATCAGTACAACTGTGGAAAAACACTTTGGTCTTTTTGCACAGTAGACCAAATAAGAACCAAAACTTATCATAGCTGGACCCGGTCATGTAACTCACCTCATCCTTGTCAGTAACTTCCAGCACCAGGATGGATGCACCACCGGGCAGGTTCTCATAGATGAGTATGTGATTGATTTCCTTACTGAACTCAGGTGGGTTATTATTCACGTCCTTTATCTTCACCACCACTGAGCCATTCCCATTTAAAGAGGGTGTTCCCCCATCAGTGGCCTGAACCTTTAGGGTATACATATTTGCCTCACTGTAGTCCAGAGGCTGGGCCAGTCGCAGGATCCCAGTGGATGACTCCAAATCAAAAACAGCAGGGTCTGATGAAGGGCTTTGCTGGAAAATGCTGTACGTAACTATTCCATTTACACTTTCATCAGGATCTAGAGCTGATAAGGTGAGCAAGCTTGCACCCACTGACTCTGTTTCTAAGATTTCAACCTGATACTCAGCCACTGAGAACTTTGGTGCGTTATCGTTGATGTCAGATACTTGTACCGTCAGAGTGGCTGTGGCTGACCTGGCTGGACGACCCTGATCTTCAGCCACCACCAGCAGGCTGTATTCTGCCTTGGTCTCCCTGTCAAGTGCGCCGGCCAAACTGACCATCCCAGACACAGGATCAATAGAAAAGCTCCCTTCTCCTCCTCTCAGTGAATATCTGATCTCCTTGTTGAAGCCACTGTCTTTGTCTGTAGCTGGAACTGCAGTAACATTGAATCCTACCTCTGCATCCTCCAGAACAGATTTGGTGACTGAGCTGGAGGCAAAAACTGGACTGTTGTCATTGATGTCAGTGACTTGGACCTCAACCACGGCGCTGTCACTGGTTGTTCCGTCAGTGATGGTAATTTCTACTGAGTAGTTTTGAGGGCCTTCGTCATGGTCAAGCTTAACCTTGGTGGTGAATTCACCACTGTTGGAGATTTCGAATTTGTCACCTTCTGTTGTAACTAAAAACTCTGGAATAGCTGGAGGTACTGCAAGGAAGTGAACCTGAAAGAAATACAGAATTGACAAAATCCTACTATGACATTTAAAGTTAACTATAGCAACAACAGTGAGTAGCTAAATGTAACTTGGCATTTGACACAGGAACATTTGGATGATAAAAACACTGGTTTGCACACAAATTCACTGGGAAACATACCTTAAGAACTGCAACTCCTGGCTCCTGCTCCTCCTCTATGGTAAAATGGTAAAGTTTTTGTAAAAACTGAGGTTTTGAATCACCAGGAGCAAAAATATTCACTTGTGCTGAGGAGGAGCGAGGTATGACGCCACCTAGAGGACAGATGAAGAAGAATATTATGCTACTTTAATGATGGCAGGCATTAAGAGGTCAGCTGGTCTACTTTAAGATTATGTAACAGTAGTTACTTCCATCTTAAAGTTACTCAGGTGACAGAACTGACTGTAAAATGCCTTGTTGAAAGCAATGAAGTTCTGTGAAAAATATGAATTAGTCATATGAGATTAAAAACCTTGGCACATGCAAGGTAACAATGTTATGATGCTAAAGTGGATTGATTGCTATGACATTACACTTAGGCATAGCAACTAAGAAAGCAGGCGGTGAAGTTGTGCACATATGCTGCAGTTGTGCTGCATACATGCCAAATAATCACAGTGTGTAAGTTATGATTTAGTGAATGTCAGAATAAGTGATTCTGAAATTGAATAACCTATTCTGGCAAGCCATGTCCGCAACCACAACAACCTCAACAATATTAACAACAACAATAATAAGAATAATAATAAAAAAATCTACCATCTTTTGCTGTTACATAGAGAGGGAACTCCAAAATCTGGTTTTCCTGCAGGGGAATGGTTTTAGCTAGTGTAATTTCTCCGGTGTTTTCATCGATTGTGAAGTATCCTTTACTGTTCCCAAAGTCAATAGAGTATTTAATCTGCCCATTTGCATCGACATCTGGATCTTCTGCCCTAACCTTGGAGTCACATAATACAAATCACAGTTTAAATGTCACGGAAATTAAAAAACAAAACACAAGATGATAACAGCAAAAACAAAAAACAATATCTTTGGATGATATGCATAAAATATGATTTAGTAATGCCATGAGAAAGTGATTATCTTTTTTAGTTGTAAAAAATATTTTTCTGAGTTGGTATGATTGAATGCAATGCAAGCAAAAGAGTAAATTGAAGTGATTAAAAAAATACACATGCAGTTATATGTCTTATTGAGAAGAACTCACTAACCTGGACCAGCAACAATCCCTCTGTTTGATTTGCAAACACTTTTCCCTCATACACGCCGCTGGTGAATTTAGGAATGTTGTCGTTTTCATCCAGAAGAGTCACAGTAACTTGTGCTGTTGCAACATTGTTGGGTTCATGTTGCTCTCTTGCTTCTACCTTTAAAATTAGTACGAAGAACAAAGTTGAGATGAAAGTTGGGACAAACTTTACTCTTTGAAAAACACAGTTTTTCTCCCACGTTTCAATTATTTTAATCTGTTTAAAACTGAATGGCTCAAAATGAGTTTTCAAGTTTTTTTTAAACATGAATTAAGACCCAGTATATACTGACAGTTGTTTTATCTTAAATCTAAATGACCTGAAATGTGATTGTTTCAGTGGTCTCTCGGTCGAGAGCTGTAGAGTTTTTCACTCTGACTGTCCCATCAGAGCTGATAGAGAAAGGAGCAGACTCTGGGATGATCCTCATGGTTCCCACAAACCCTCCCTAGGAGTGAATATGAAAATGAAGAGAGTGAATGAAAATATACATGCAGTTTTTATATATTATTAACAGCATCAACTGACAGAATATATCTCGAAATCATATGTGTATTGTAACTGTAGACTACCTGGTCGAGATCAGTGACAGGAGCTTTGAACAGAACAGCATCAACAGGCGAGTTTTCCACAAGTGTCACAGAGTAGCTGGGTTCATCAAACCCTGGAGCATTATCATTAACATCCTCTACAGTGACAGACACTACTGTCTCAGTTGTCTTCATACTGTCGTCTGTTTGGGCTGCCTGAAGAGTATTAAAGCAGAGCGATATTTAGATTTAGATAACGAATAGCAGTATTTGTTCATATGGGCCACGTTCTTAACTTTTGTGCAAATTCTATATGTAACACAAGTGAAAATTGTGTGTTTAAAAAAAAGTGTGTTAAATTTTGATGAGCCTTCAGCTAAGACTGAACCATTTTGACACAACAGACCTTTTTACTCTTAATGAATGCATAGATTAAAATGTCAGTACCTTGATGCTGATAGAGATCATGCTGCTGTTCATTTCCTCTCTATCGAAGGCAGCAATCACAGACAAAACTCCACTGGAGGGGTCAATGTTGAAGTTTCTTTGATATTTGTCTGGAGAAACTAAACAAACATAAATAATTTAGAGGTTTTCACAGGTTTAATGTCGTATTAGTAAAACAAAAAACTGAACACATTTTTTTAAGCATTTACCAGCACTGATGGTATAAGTTAAAGTCATGTTGATCCCAATATCTCCATCTTGTGCCTTTATTGTCTCTGGTTGAATGGTATGGAATAATCCAAGCTGAAGTACACAACACACACGAGCGTTACATTCTGTATTTCAAAGCTGCCGCAGTGACGTTTCCAGAGCGTTGCTTGCGTTTTACTCTATAACAGCTAGGATGGGCCCCAAATAACTAACAGATTTTGACATGTTTAATTTAAAAAGTGAAGATATGTAAATGAAATCTGATTTGTGATGTTAGTCTAGATGTTTTGAAAATTTAAGGAAAAAGAAGAAAAAAAGAAGAAGAAAATTCTGGACTTCTGGCTGGTTTTGGCTGAGTTTATCCTCTCAGAAAGCATCAGCATTTCTGAATCTTGTTCATGTTTGTTTTTTTTGTCTTTGTATAGTTTTATTTGCATTTACTACTGCACTGTGTTCATCATGTAAACATGGCTATAAAATCAAATCAAATCTGTTTGTAAAAAAAAACCCCATGTCTTGTAGACATGAAATTCAGAAGGAACATAAAACATATTGGAAAAAACAAAATTTCCAGAATTAATATTTAAAGACTGTGATTAAAACACTACGTGTACAGAATTAAAATTTTGAGACTTACTTGGTTCTCTGAAATAAAGGCCTGGTACAGACTGTGGCTGAAATAGGGATTCAAGTTATCAAAGTCCTCTACATTAATCACCACCGAGGCTGTGTCATTCAATCCTCCGTTATCCTGCAGCGAAGGATAGTAAGACTATAATCATATAGATGTTCTTGATTGAAGTAGTTCAGTTGCTCGAAATAATTTTAACTCACCTTGGCCGTTACAGTAAAGTGGTAGTTTTGGACTGCGTTGTAGTTCAAACGTCTTTTCAACATAAACGCCCCTGAGTCAGTAACTTCAAAGTCTTCTGTGGCTGGTGTCTTATGAAAAAGCAACAAAAGCCCAAAACATCATCACCATGTTGTTATTGTTACTTTTTATAATGACAGATTAAATACAGACACGTTACCGACGACCAGTATGAATTACCTTATGTGAAAGCTTAATTATTTATATAATTTTCACTAACATTTGCATTAAAAATGTTTCTTTTTTACATAGAAAAATGCACAAAAAAAGAAACACAAAAATTAGTGAAGAGCTTTATTCTCAGCTAACACTGAAGTGACAAGTAAATAGAATTGCACGTTACTTAAGAAACACATACTCTCACTAGCTTTTCAAGAAATTTTAAATGTGTTTACAATGGAATATGTCACTCTGTTGTTTTGTGAGGTGGCGTCTGCATCCACAGCTGTCACTCGAATAACCTCAGCATTCAGATTAAGTGTCTGAAAGAAGAAAAAGTTAAATCATATACAGCCAGAGAAAAACACGTTTTGTAGTTCCATCCTATCCTTCTTAATTTTCCTCTTAAGTACAGGTGTGATTCTCACATTTATAGAAATGTATCATGCAACTGGTCTACATTCCATTTTTTAACAGATTTTAGTGGCTAACCTCAGAGACATCTTTGGAGTACAGTTTCTTTTCAAATATCGGAGCGTTGTCATTGAGATCTATGATTTTCAGTGTCCGAGTGTTATTGTACTGTAAAATAAAAAATGAAATAAAATAATTTGACATATTTCATTTGTAATGTATATTTGTAATGCATAAATATTGAAACTTTGCAACCACAGAATATCACCCACCTTAATATTACCATCACACATGACAGAATAATACAGGGTGGTAGGACTCTGTAAGACAGGAACACAGTGGATTACCTTCAAATGAGTCATTTATGTTTAAACTAAACCGAACAGCATAAAAAAAAAAAAAAAGATAATGAAATCTAATAAAAACTGCAGCTGATTATAATAAAATGTTGCATAATTGTAGAATTTCTTAAGTGTTGCCCATTGTGTGTGCAGCAGAATTTCACTTGGATGTTTTGATGTGTAAGACTATATGCTGCTGTGGTTATTTAGTGCACTGATTTACATATTTTTTTTTTTACATATGTTTTTGGCATTTTATTACAAAAGGCTCCCATTAAGTTTTTAAAGGGTTTAGTATATTGGTCTTCAGCTGCAATGGGAAGATACTGTATTGCAATCAATAGGAGTATGCTTGCAGATCTTTAATTTGGCAGTTACTGAAAATGTTTCCTTTTCTTTTGATGTTTAAAATAAGCTGTATTTATAATACATATGGAATTTCTGGGAAATAGGTTTGCCCAAACTTACAGACATCGGAGCATCTGCATCTAGAGGTTTCTTGGTGCGAACAACTGCAAAGCTGTCCCCAGGTGTGAAACTCAGCTCCAGAAACTCAAGGTGGGGAAGAAAGACATAGTCCACTAACTTCACACTGGTTCCTGGCACGATACCATCTATCCTCTCCACATCCCCTGCAGCATCATGGAGAATTATGAAGAATACAAGATAAACACTAAATGTGTAAGTATGGATAGTTTTCCAGACCAGGAGAAAAAAAACATTGTATTTCTTGTTTCTTTCATGCCATAGTCTTCCTGTCACAATCCTGGGTGTGTGACGCAGTGTGTGTGCTTTCCGGTTAATGTTATATTCTTCAGTATACTTCCTGGTTCTGTTTCCTTGCCTCCCCTGAGGGAGTCTGCCATGTCTCTTGTGAATTTAAGTTCTGTCTCCGTGTTTATTCATCTGTTTCCCAGTCGTGTCTCTCACTTCCTCTGTCCCCTATGTTCACTCAGTCTGTGTCTTATAGTGTGTCTCCTGTTTCCTGTTTTACTTGGACAGTCTCGTGTCCTGTGTTATTGTTTTTTGTTTTGCTTCCTACCTCTCTCATCGTGTTAGATCTGTTCCAGCTGTGTTTCCCTCCTGTTTCTCATCCTATCGTTACCTCCCTAGTTCTCTGGTCCAGTCTTAGTTTTGCAGTTTCTTAGGTTTAGTTCTTTGTTTCTAGTTTTTGCGTTTTTGGTTAATAATACTTGTACTTGTACATGTTTTAATATTTTTGATACAGGAATAAAACTGCCTCCCTCATTTCACTCCTTTTTTGGGTCCTCACCCAGCCTGCCACACAGTGCATCCTTGACACTTGTATTACTACCATCACGCATTTATTCATTTCATACCAGACTAAATGATTGTTGGCACAGGAATATACTATGTTTGATTATTGTGTTATTAAAAAATTATAAAGTAAAGATGAAAGAAGACACTTTACCTGAATATCCTTCATTGACTTCACCTATATTTTTAGAAGGAGTCACCGCTTCACAATTTATGGTTGAAGAACCTTCAGAAACAAAACCGATGAATTAGCACCGAGTGAACAGATTATCGATATTACATAAAAACACTATTTCTAACAGCTGATATGCAGATGTAACTGGGCATGTCCATTTCACTGAGATTTCTTTTCCATTTTGTTTGTTTTGTTTTGCTTTGTTTACATTCTGATACCAGGCTTTTCTTTTATCTGTGGTTCCTTCTGTGCTAAAATGATTTGCCAATATTGTTATTTAACACTTTCTTCTCTCTGATGGTGTTAACTTCTAATCTCTTACAAGGTACCATGCATTGTTTTAAAAGGCACCACCGGTGCTGCTGCAGTAATATTTCAGATATGGACAATGGTTGTATTTTCTTTGCCTGACACCCTCCTGATTTTCAGTTTGGTTTGGCTCCTTGGATTTACTGCACTTACTCTGTCTTCCTTTTGATATGAACACTTTTGGTTGTAGTGATGCAATTTCCGGCTCTTTTTAGAGAACCGGCTCTTTCGGCTCCCAACCGGCTCTTCAGGTTGTTTTGTTGCTTTAATTAATTTATTATTAACAACAATATAAAATTATGCACAAAAGGAATTACTAATGTAAAAAAAACATGTTTTAATTTATATATGTTTATATATAAATATATGCGGTGGCCCCTAGAGACAAAGAACCTCCCAAACACATTTCTAGCATTAACTGAACTTCAAAACAGAGCTACCTAGATCACTTAAATTACACAATTGAAAGCATATGCGCATTGTTTGTGTATTTATACACAAGCACTCATATATATTTAAATAAAAAAAAAAAATGTTCATTTACCTGTTACTACCACACACCAAATCTGGTCGTTGGTACTTCCTGGCTTGTGTAGCCACTAGGTAACAAAAGCTCAACACTGCCCTTACCATCCTGGAGCACTTCTGTTGTGTTTTGTACGTGTTTTGGAGTTTGTACGTGTTTTGGAGTTTGTACGTGTTTTGGAGTTTGTAGTGCTTTGTCTGTAGGGGCCACCGTAAATATACTTTTATTTATTCACTCCACATAAAATGTAATAAATAAATCATATAATACAAAAATCAACTATTCACATTTCAACTTTTAACTATTTAAATTTTCAGCTGTTTCCTTTTACAAATTTAAAGCGAAAACAACACAAAACACAGCAAAACACAACACAATTAAATATAAATTATAATATGAAAACAAAAAGAAGATGCACATTCTCTGTCATATGGGCCCGCATGAATCCGCACTTTCTGAATCCTTTATCATCTGCAACCGAAAATAGTTGTGGATGATTACTATACCTTTCTAATGTGACGTTGTTGTCCCTGCTCTCTTTCTCTCTCTGTGCTACTGCGAGTGTAACTACCGCCCCTCCCCCCTCTGCCCAGCGTAAAGCACAAGGCTCGCGTGCAGAGTGAAGCGGGAAAAAAAGTGCGAGAGAGAGGCTGAGAGAAAGAAAAAAAAAACAAAACACGTGACTGCTCGCGATAAGGAGCCGGCTCGCGTCGTTCACGTCAAAGAGCCGGCTCTAAGAGCCATTTCGTTCGCGAACGACCCATCACTACTAAGAGCTGTTTCGTTCACGACTGACACATCACTAGCTGTATGACAAGGTGTTTAATCATTCCTCCATTTCAATCACAAAAGCTTTTGCTATGGCTGTTTAGGATATGTGCCACAAGTTAGCTTGTGGGAGACATGTTTGTGAAAACACCAACTGTAGAACTCCATAATGATTTAGTTTGTCAATTGACTCTTCACATTATATTTCCATTATATTCCCATGTATAGTGACTTTATGTTACCAATTAAAATTCATACACTCATGATGACCAAGTGGAAATTTCTATTTCCATGACATCATGACTATTAGAACAGGGCACATTGCTCCTGATATCAGCAAAGGGCCAAGGTTTAACGTACAAACCCCACCCTTTGTACGTGCTGTATGAGGTTTAATCATCATTATAAAGGTTTTTAGTTCCTTCAGTAAATAAATAAATCTCACATTTAATATTTAACAAATATTATAAAATAACTATATAATTTGATATAATTTGAGGGCATGTAACTGTAATTTTAATAGTATGAACATAATATTTTGCGTGATTTTATTAGCTATGATAAAGTTATTTAACCAAAAAGTAGTTGATTTGGAATAGAGCAGGTGGAAAATTTTGTCAGATTTGATTGATTTCAGTGGGGATAGGCCAGTAGATAGATGAATGTGAGTGCCAATTATCTGTTTGTGATTAGCCCTGGTGACCTGTCCAGGGTGTTTGTACACTGCATCTCACCCTAAGACAGCTGGGATAGGAGCCAAACTCCCCCCCCCCCGCGCCACATATCCGGAACAGCGGAACGGAATGGATGGAATAGTGACTGATATTATGTGAAATCCTCCTTGTTCAAAGTTAATCTTTCACTTACCTGGAAAAAAAATATTTACAGTCGGGCAAAAAAGTATTTAGTCAGCCACCGATTGTGCAAGTTCCCCCACTTAAAATGATGACAGAGGTCAGTAATTTGCACCAGAGGTACACTTCAACTGTGAGAGACAGAATGTGAAAAAAAAATCCATGAATTCTCATGGTAGGATTTGTAAAGAATTTATTCGTAAATTAGGGTGGAAAATAAGTATTTGGTCACCTCAAACATGGAAAATCTCTGGCTCTCACAGACCTGTAACGTCTTCTGTAAGACGCTTTTCTGTCCCCCACTCGTTACCTGTATGAATGGCACCTGTTTGAACTCATCATCTGTATAAAAGACACCTGTCCACAGCCTCAAACAGTCAGACTCCAAACTCCGCCATGGCCAAGACTAAAGAGCTTTCGAAGGACACCAGGAAAAGTATTGTAGACCTTCACCAGACTGGGAAGAGTGAATCTACAATAGGCAAGCAGCTTGGTGTGAAAAAATCAACTGTGGGAGCAATCATCAGAAAATGGAAGACATACAAGACCACTGATAATCTCCCTCGAGCTGGGGCTCCACGCAAGAGCTCATCCCGTGGGGTCAAAATGATCATGAGAACGGTGAGCAAAGATCCCAGAACCACACGGGGGGACCTGGTGAATGACCTGCAGAGAGCTGGGACCAAAGTAACAAAGGTCACCATCAGTAACACACTACAACGGCAGGGAATCAAATCCCGCAGTGCCAGACGTGTTCCGCTGCTGAAGCCAGTGCATGTCCAGGCCCGTCTGAAGTTTGCCAGAGAGCACATGGATGATACAGCAGAGGATTGGGAGAATGTCATGTGGTCAGATGAAACCAAAGTAGAACTTTTTGGTATAAACTCAACTCGTCGTGTTTGGAGGACGAAGAATACTGAGTTGCATCCCAAGAACACCATACCTACTGTGAAGCATGGGGGTGGAAACATCATGCTATGGGGCTGTTTTTCTGCCAAGGGGACAGGACGACTGATCCGTGTTAAGGACAGAATGAATGGGGCCATGTATCGTGAGATTTTGAGCCAAAACCTCCTTCCATCAGTGAGAACTTTGAAGATGAAACGAGGCTGGGTCTTCCAACATGACAATGATCCAAAACACACCGCCCGGGCAACAAAGGAGTGGCTCCGTAAGAAGCATTTGAAAGTCCTGGAGTGGCCTAGCCAGTCTCCAGACCTCAACCCCATAGAAAATCTGTGGCGGGAGTTGAAAGTCCGTGTTGCTCGGCGACAGCCCCAAAACATCACTGCTCTCGAGAAGATCTGCATGGAGGAATGGGCCAAAATACCAGCTACTGTGTGTGCAAACCTGGTAAAGACCTATAGTAAACGTTTGACCTCTGTTATTGCCAACAAAGGTTATGTTACAAAGTACTGAGTTGTATTTTTGTTATTGACCAAATACTTATTTTCCACCCTGATTTACAAATAAATTCTTTACAAATCCTACCATGTGAATTCATGGATTTTTTTTTTTTCACATTCTGTCTCTCACAGTTGAAGTGTACCGCTGGTGCAAATTACTGACCTGTGTCATCATTTTAGGTGGGGGAACTTGCACAATCGGTGGCTGACTAAATACTTTTTTGCCCCTCTAGGCCTGGAGTTCGAGACCCCTGTCTCACCCTTGAAGAGGAAGGGGGCCTCCTGGGGGAAGCTGCAGCTTGTAATTAAACCCATTTCAAAGACACTCATCAAGTGCTTGTGTTTTATTAAACAAACTTCCATGACACAAACAAGACACACTGACAGGGAAAAATCTGTGAATAATTTACTCCAACACAAAACTGCAAAATCTGTTAGTAGCCTACTCCGGTCCTAATATCACGTTCATGGTTTTAGACAACAAACATAAAAGAAACAAACAAACAATCCAACAAAAAACAAATACTATTAATAACAAAATATACATATGAAAAATAAAAGCACTTAATTAGAATCGATCCTTACTGCTAAATTAAGCTTAATGTTGTTAGTTATATTGGATCCAAATGCTACTTCAGTTCCCACAAACAAACAAGAACTGAGGCACCAGTGAGAGTTAAAAATAGTCTAGATTTTTTTTTTATGGGCATTAAAATGATCAATGTAGCTTTTCTCTCACACACTACAACACAATCTTGTCTAAACTGGACTTTGAAACACAAATACTGAAATGTGAAATGAGTTTGAAATCAAGCATTATCAGCACAATTTGACATTGCTATAGTCTAAGCAGAAATAAAAAGCTTTATGGTACATTTAGTATGGGGTAGAAAAAGGTGTCACCTATGGATTACTCACTGCATAGCCTGATACCCTGCAGGACTTAATGATAGCTCAAAATGTTTACTATTAATCCAGGTATCCCATTGTCAGAATTTATCATCTATAACTACACAAATACCATGTATTTCTGTTTGATTTTTGTAACTATTGGAAAAACCGATTAATGATTCCATTATCAGTATAATGTAATATATGTATATAGTAAAAATAAGATATTCAGCATAGACTGAAAACAATCATCATCATTTTTCCAGCTGTTTATGGTACAAAATAACATTCTTTCCATCTATTCAGGCTGCACTCACCTATTGGACTTCCAGTGATGACACAAACAAAAATGGATAGAATGAGGACCACACAAATCTTATTCAACGTGTCCATGTCGGCACAGTTGTTCTTCCCCAAACCTGAAAACCGACACTGAATTGAACACATGAACAACAGGTGTTAAGAGGAACCTGCTGTTTACCTCGCCCTCTTTTGTCCCCAGTAATATTATTTTATGGCAGGTTGTAAAGGGTTATAGGTTTTATTGATAGTGGATCAGGCCAAAGTACGAGTTTCATTTCTCCTTATCAACAGTGCAAAGGAATAACATTTTACTTCCTTTGTTGTTATACAGCCAAACTAGATTCAACTTATATGAGAAGGAGTTGAGAGAAATGTTTGGTATTTGGTGAACTGTGTTGTGATCAAAATCAGTTTAACATGGCATTAATTAACATATAATGACACTAAATAATGCAATAAAAGTAAGTCATATTAAAAGGTCCATTTAAACATTTCTTTTTCAAACTTAACATGGTTGAAACGGAATTGCTTAAAACACAAATATTAGACAAGTGTATTCACTGGGCAGGTGTATTTTATTTTACATACATTAACTAATTATGAGTTTCTGCTTTTGTCACCGTCCTGGATTGTTGACCTGTTGTTTTAATTTCTGTAAAGTTTATGGTTCTTTGAGTTTTGTATTTCAGGTTTGCTTTTTACTTTCATTGTAGGTAATATTTAAGTCCTTGTGTCATGGTCCTGGGTCTACATGACACCTTGGATTTTCAATTGATTTTACCTACCTCTGTTTCTTGTAGTCTGTTTTCAAGTTTTAGTTACTCAGCGTGTATTTTTCTGTTTTGTTACTTCCTGTTTTATTTTGGTACTCTGTTATCTCTTGTGCCTTATATTTAGTTTTACTCCCTCACAATCCCTATCTTGTTAGTTTGATTCTGTTCACCTGTGACTTGTGTACTCTTTATGTAATCCATCCCCTGAAGTGAGTGAGTTTGTGTTTGGTTCTGTTTGTCTGTCTGTTTGATAGCATTCTAGGGTCTACAGTTTTCAAGATATCATTTTCAAATTTTATGTGATGGTAGATACCAATAACAGCTTGAGCTGAAGCAATTACAGGCTGACATCAGCGAAAACATCGTAAAGCATCAAAGTTTTAGTACAGCCCTTGCCCTTCCGTGTGAGTTGAGCTCAAGAACCATATCCTTGAGGGATATGGGATATAGGAGAACATCATCAGCGTATAAACAAAATTTCATGTTCTGTTAAATTAATTCCTTTTATGGTAGAGTTTTGATGAATTGCAGGTTCAATGAAAATGGAAAAAAAGGACAGAGAAAGTGAACATCCCTGCCTTGTACCTCCTTGTAAGATGAAGTTCTTTGAGGTCAAGAATGTCATGTATAAAATAGTTTAAACGAGTTTATGAATGAATCTCCAATTTAAATGTATTTAATATCAAGGACAGGAATGACAAATTTACTTTATCAAATGCTTTTTCTGCATTTAAAGTTATAATGGCTGAATTTTTATGACGTATTGAAACCATTAAATTAAAAGATCTATGTGTTTGATCAGGGTGAAATAGGAAAGAGATGACTTTCTCAATTCTGATTTTTTTTGTTTTTTTCAATATTTTATTTTAATTTTTTCAGCATAGAAAACCCCATCGCCGAACAAATACTGCTCGGCGCTGAGATGATAGGACAAGAAATAGCACAATAATAATAATCAATAGAGAAAGACAAAAAAAAAACAAAGAAAAGAAAGAAAACATTAAAATTAGAAACTACCAGTATCCATGATGAATTAAATGTCATGAATATGTAATAAACAGGGAAATTGCAGTGCCATGGTACATGTTTAGGCAGCACGGTGGCACGGTGGTTAGCACTGTTGCCGCACAGCAAGAAGGTCCTGAGTTCAATTCCAACATCAGGCCGGGGTCTTTCTGTGTGGAGTTTGCATGTTCTCCCCGTGTTTGCGTGGGTTCCCTCCGGGTACTCCGGCTTCCTCCCACCGTCCAAAGACATGCAGTTTGTGGGGATAGGTTAATTGGATAATCCAAATTGCCACTAGGTGTGAATGTGAGTGTGAATGGTTGTCTGTCCTTGTGTGTTGGCCCTGCGACAGACTGGCGACCTGTCCAGGGTGTACCCCGCCTTTCGCCCTATGACAGCTGGGATAGGCTCCAGCGCCCCCCGCGACCCTGAAAAGGATAAGCGGAAGCGAATGGATGGATGGTACATGTTTATACAACGTAAGCTTTCTCAAGATGAGTAAAAAACGGAGTCCAGGATTTTGAGAAAACATTTGCTGCAGGTGTTTGCAGGTATCGAACTTTTTCCAGTTGAATGACTGATAACATAACTGTCTTCCTTCTCTCACCCCAACCGGTCGCAACAGATGGCCGCCCCTCCCTGAGCCTGGTTCTGCCAGAGGTTTCTTCCTGTTAAAAGGGAGTTTTTCCTTCCCACTGTCGCCAGAGTGCTTGCTCATAGGGGGTCATATGACTGTTGGGTTTTTCTCTGTATCTATGAAGCGCCTTGAGGCGACTTTTGTTGTGATTTGGCGCTATATAAATAAAATTGAATTGAATTGAATTGAATAACATGTCATTGAGCCAGACACTGAAGGGGGGAGGAGCAGTGGACTTCCATTCCTTTAGAATAAGTCTTTTCGCAATCATCATTCCGAGATCGATTGGCACCCGCACAGTCACGGGGATAGTTCTGGAACGTACACAGCCAAAAACTGCAATTTCTGGATTGGGTGAGATGGAAATTCCATAAGCTTTAGAGTACCAATCAAATATTTTGGACCAAAAATTAGTCAATGAGGGGCAATGCCAGAAAGCGTACTCTCTGGTGTTTTACATCTGTCACTTATGTGGGAAGTTGAAGGATAAATTTTGTGTAGCCGAACCTTGGAATAATGTAGCCGATGGACAATTTTAAATTGTATTAATTGATGTCTGCTGTTAACAGAGCAGGAATGAATTTTTGATAGGCATTTGTCCCACATTGATTCTGTTATTTCCATGCCCAATTCCTCTCTCAATTCTGATTTTAATGTCTTGGTTATAATTTTGATATCTGCATTCATTAGTGAGAGTGGTCGATAACTAGATGTTATCGTTCTTGATATTGTGATAGGGAGAACTGTTCCACCATCTTTTTCTCTTTTATTATGATTTCAGTGTCTAATATCTTAATCCCAATAGCGTGCTGTCTTTTTTTCTGCAGAGTGGGCAATCAGTTTCCCTCTTATATATACTTTGAAGGGCTCCCAAATGGGCCTATTTTCAAATGTTTTCACATTTTTGTCTTGCAGCACTGATGTATTCATGCTGCCAGTATTATTTGTTGATCTATATCCCCTGACACTTTATTCACTTCATAAAAAAATAAATAAATTGTAATCTTCTTTATTTGGTGCATAGATATTGCATAATATTACGTGTAAGCCTTCTATTGGACACATATCATTTGACCTTTTGTATTAGGGCTGAACGATTATGGAAAATAATCTAATTGCGATTTTTTGCCCCAATATTGCGATTGCGATGCGATATGCGATTATTTTTTAAGGTATTTGTCTTCTGTATTATTAAACAAAGACAAGCAATACATCATATAGTATGGCCAATACTATATTACATTAATTTTAAACTGTTCTTTCCTGGAAGACAGACCTCTGTTATGATGACATGAGGTGATGCATGAATTGATGACTGACATTTTTATTTAACTTCTTCAATCACAACAGTATATTTGAACATACACAATAGTTTATTTTTAGCTTACAAACATCTGAGCATAAAGTGCTGGCAAGGAACCCTGGTGTAAACATTAAAATGAAAGTCAGTACAATGTGCAGATTGCAGAAATATACATTAAAAAAATCAGTGGCTTTACCACACTCAGTTTTTCGACATCTGTGAACTACTAGACAGTCATTCAATTAAAAAATAATATTAAATAAATAAAACTAATAAATAAAAAATACACACATCTTACTGATCTCTGTAGTCAGTAACATTACACATAAAGTGCAAACATAATAGCAATTGTATAAACACACACACAAACACGCCTTTAAAGTTTAAAGGCGTGAAATTGGACGGTCTAGTTCTGATTAGCGTCACCGCTGTCTCGGTGGAGTTTAATAAACTCGGCCGTCTGCTTCTTGCTATCTAAAATATAACCAGACACTGGTGTAAATTCTCGACTGTCTCATACTTCTGTTTAATAAGTTTTCTGTTTGACATTTAGTCAGCTGTGTGAAAACCAAGGAGGAACCCACCCGGGGGATTAATAAAGTTTTATTTTATCTAATCTAATAACTTTAATCTCAGCCAAACCGATTTACTCACGAACAAACAAAACACTGAAAAAAGCCCAACAATAACATTTTTAGGTTGTCTAAGTGACTTATATATTACGTTTAACCCGAGCAGCGAAACTCCGCGGTGATCTGAAAATGATGTGCCGGGAGTTGTGCCGTTCTCGGCCGCATCAGTAACCCTCAAGCTCCCGGCTAGCTGTCGAGCTGGTGGGTAGCAGACGCCTCTGAAAACGTCGAAGCACTTTTGCAAATATGGGATATCTTGATAAACCGAGCAGATATTTGATGTTTACACAACTACTTTCTCGCCTGAAAATATGTTAAAAGTTTATTTTGTGACCCAGAAAGATTAATAAGAGTAATTTTAAAACTTAGTAGCGGCCGCCATTGCTGGAAACTGGAGTTTGGCTGGGCCGCGCTATGAATTCTGGGATATGGTAGTAATTTGGACAGCCTTCGGCGCGTCGCTGTGACGTAATCGGTCTACAAATGCGGCCTCAGGAGGATGCAGCCCATGAATTGTATAATATAATCGCAGTATAATCGCAGCCTTTGCGGTTAGAAAATTGCACTTGATCATGTCGCGATATTATCGCAAATGCGATATATCGTTCAGCCCTATTTTGTATCCTCAATTTCCTTTTGTAAAGTAAAATGTATTTCCTTATTCCCTAGCAGAGATGGGCAGTAACGCGTTACTTGTAATGCGTTACTGTAATCTGATTACTTTTTTCAAGTAACGAGTAAAGTA